CCCCCCCCAAAATGCAAAGAGCTTATCAAGTCAGTTGCTATTAGAACTGTGCTAGTGGTGCTATATAACGTGGACTTTAATGCTAGCAAACTCAGTATTTGGGGTTTGTTTTGTTTTTTAAAGCAAAGGCAAGCAGCAGAACAGTGATTTAGTTTTTACCTTCAGTTTTCTCTGTAGTAGTGCTTATTGTCAGCTGAGTCTCAGTCGCAGAGCACCTGCCGTTTTCTTCCTCTGCTAATTGTGTGACAGGTTCATATTGCAATATGGCATCCAGATCATGAAAAAACTTCATGGTTTTCGTAGCATCTCCAGAGTTGTGGGCATATTTAACTGTTCTGTATTCATACTTCAGATTTTTGTACTTTGCCCGGCACTGCTTCCAGTCTCTGTAAACCCCGAAGTCCTGTAGTCTTTTAGCAATGTAGATGAATATTCCTTTATTCCTTAGTGTTCGATGAAGTTGCTTTCTTATGCTTTTTTCTGACCAGACACTTAACAAGGCTTTAACCTCCTCTTCAGTCCAATGCTTTCCTGCTCCACTCTCCATGTTGAAAGTGACCTGGAAATGATTCACTATTTCTAGCCAAGATTTTGTTTCCTAGGAAACCAGACGGCTGGTTGTCAGTAAGCTCCACAGAGATGAAAGGATCTAGTTTTACTGGCTCAAGCTGCCTGAGGGGAGTAACTTGAGAAACTGCCAAATAAGCAGGCTCTGTATTAGAAGCAGACAAATAAAGCAGCTCAGGCACAAATGATCAGTGTGTGTGTTAGTAGCTGCATTAGGGAAAGGCTGCTTTCTGCAGGATAAAAACTGAACAGAATCTCTGGTATCTAAATATATCTGCTTTTAACCCGTGTTATGAAAAACGTTTCTAATACTTTGCTATTTTGTATTTGAATTTTCACTGACTGGAATTCTCGCAAGCATACTGGCCTCTGGCTTCTATTCTATCCCATCCAGGAAGAGCATAGACCAACTGCAGAGGCTTCCTCAGCCTGACGAAGGGTGTTTGTACTGGAAAGCTTGCAAAGAAGAATTTTTCCAACTATTTTACTTGGGCAAATAAAAGATATCGGTTTTACCCAAAGAACCTTGTCTTGCTGTTTTGTAGTTACTGTAAAGAGAAAGCTCATTGCGAAACCTTTGTTCCCTTATTTCTTAATGTTTCTTTCATCTTTGTTGCATGACAGAAGTCTTAGTCATTTGGGCATTCTTGTTGTTGTTTGTTTGCAACCATTTTTATATTTTGTGAGCTGAAAGGTGTTAGTAGGAGTCCCCCATCAGTCCCAAATTGAAAGGTGTATTTGAAATCGTGTTAACATGCAAGTTAATCATGACAAATGATGCAGTCTGTGTGCATTTTTGTTTAAACCCCCCCCCAAATATTTTGGGATTTATGCTACTGAAATGTTTTTTGTTTTGTTTTCACAGAGCACATAACCTGTTTCATGTTTTTTTATTTCATATTAAAACTGGCTCTGTGTGTGTGTGCGCGCGCGCGTAGGCGCATGTGCGTGTGCATTCCATGAGAACAGTTTCTAAAAGATGACGTACCAGTTCTGTCCTTTATCCCCCCAGCATTTTCACTCAATGCAGGAGAATACTAGGGATGAAAGAAGAGTAAAGACTCTCAGACGGATGCAGAATCCATCAATCTGTGCCCCCTTCTCCCCATCCCACATGGTCAATTGTGATTCTGGGTGGTGCTTGGCTAGGGTAGTTCATCTGCATAGCCATGGTTGTATCTATCTATCTCCTCCCCCAGCCATTTCTTACATCCCTGTGAAGCATAATTCTGGTGTATAGAGGTAGAGAGCCCCTGTTAGAGTCTGCACAGCCTACTATACAGGTTTCACTGCTGACCAGATGTTCTGAATCTGCGGGGGAGAAGGTGGGACTAGAGGAAGCCAGGCTTGGAGGTAGGTGGTGATGCTGGGTTCAGAGATTGTCCCAAAATTGCAAAGAAAATCAGTGCATTATACCAAGGATAACTTGACACTTGTCTTTTGATTTTTTTCCCCTTGCTATCTACAGGGACACATCAACTTTGAAAGGGCCTTTATGAAACAGAGCCAAACATTTGTTGAATGTACCACATTGGTTTCTCAGTTTCCATGTATAATTCTTGTGTTTTATAGAAACACATTTTCCTAAACAAAGTAAACAGTGTTGAGGGGGGAACAGAGACACTTCTTCGTTCACTGTGTTTTATAATAATCATTATATTAGCAAAAATGGTAAAAATTTTAGACATAAATTTGTTTTTAGTCAAGCACCCCTTAATACTTCCTTAACCCACAGCTGGTGTTAGTGAATAGTGAGTGAACTTTTAATTCTTATCTCCATCAGGGATTATGTCCTGTTCAACTAGTTAGGGGTCAGTCATATTGAATATCCTGCTGTTTCATATGCAGGTATAACTCAAGGGCAATTCAACCAGTGACACCTATGAAGATATACCACTTTAATGTGATATGCCTGTTTTATAGTTCAAGAAATAAATAAGTAATTATATTCCTCTTGGTCAGCATTTAAGTTGGGGTGGGCAAAATATGGCCTGTATGCCAGATCCAGCCCGCCAAAGGATTCTGTTTGGCCCATGGAAGGTCCCCTAGTCCCACCCAGCCCAGGTGTAGGAGGCAGCCTAGGCAGTGGCAAGTGCAGCTGGTCCCACTGCCCCTGGGCATATGGCAGGGCGGGAGCAGTGCAGTTGGCAGTTCTTGGAAGGCACAGGGCTGCCACTGCCTGCATCTCTGCCATTGTTCCCACTGCTCAGGCATCCTGGCCAGTCTGCCTTGCACCTACCATTGGGGGCACTGGGCAGAGTGGGCAGGCAGAGCACTTAGCCAGGTGGATGGGATGGGGCTGCGAGTGGGCAGGGAGTGTGTCTGGGAGTGGGACAGGTGGGCAGGGTCAGGGCTGGGATCATGGGGTGTTGACAGTGCAAGGCTGAGACCTGATGCAGAGCCATGATCCACTCCCCACATGTTCCTGCGGCAAGAATCAATTTTGTTGGCAGGGATATGCAGGGAGAGGATCACAGCCCTGCCCTTGGCCCCATCCTGCATTGACACCATGCTGCAATCCTACAACCCCATCTCCTCTGCCTGACATTCTGCCCACAGGTGTCCAGGCTGGTCTCCATGGAGACCTTACCAGCCTGCTCTGTCCAGCACCTCTGGTGGTAGGTGCAGGGCAAATGGAACCAGACAGGATCAATTGCCCCCACACCCTTCACACACCACCTCTCCCATGCCATACCCAGCCAGGTCAGCACCCCTTCCCCCTGGCCTGCAACGGCTCACTGAAACTCCTGAAGAGGCTGTTACCAGATTTGCCCATCACTTTGGGGTGTGCTCATTTATTAGGGATATGTTTCTAAGGTCTTTGTAATTCTATCAATGTGCTGCTTGTGTACTTGTTTCTATACGGAGCTGTATATCTCCCTTCTGCAAGTCCTCACCCCCCCAGGGAGCTATCTTGCAGAACTCAGTTTCAATGGGGCTGGGTTCCTCCAGTCACCAAATCAATCAGACACGCACAGATGCAGATATGACATGCCTGACCCGGCCAGGTTGATCAGCATGGACAGGTTGACACCCTCATATGCCAGGAATCAGTTCATCAGAGCAACAGTAGCCTGCAGTCAGACACAAGCACACAGGTAAACAGAATCCTTCTGAATCCGGCTGGGTGTCCAGCTGACACCCGCATGGGCCAGCATTCAGTTCATTAGGGCACGTCTGAGCCAAGCTGGGTCAATCAGCCTGTACAAGCTGATCCCCTTATGTGTTTCAAACTCAGCACGTCCCAGTCTTTAGCCTCTTGATGAGTAGACCCCACAGTATTTTTGGGCTTCACAGGGATCTTTAGCTTAGGTAAAAGAAGCATTGCTGCAGAGCAAGTGGAGAAGTAGAGAAGGAAAAATATACCCAGTTACTACCAGTTTGACTATAAACGTTATTTATTGCTAAGTATATGAAATATATAATGGTACTAGTAGTAATAGACATGCAAAGGAAAACAAACACAACCAATAGCAATCCAAGGCACTCGGGTATCAATGCTGACAGGTAAAGTTCTTAGCACAATCCTTGAAGGGAGATGATCTGTTTTTTCCAGCTTCTCAAGAACGACAGTGGATGGTGTTAGAGAGCGAGTTCTCCTCTTGAAGCGCGCACACTCATTGCTGCTTTTTTACAGATTTTTATACCCTCAGTTCAGCTTCTTCAAAGCATTCTCAGTAGTGTAAATCATTGTCTTTTCTCTTGACAAGGGGTTATCTGGTTTGGAACATCTCAAGAAACTGATTAACAACCAGGAAAAACATAAGTTTTTAAGGCGTAACCAGACACTTAGGAGCCAGCTTGAAATTCCTATGGATAGCAGACATACTGGATGGGATACCTCATTGTTTCTTCAGAAACCATAGATAGCTTGCAGCGTCAGGGTTTTGGATTTTTATCTGTTGTGAACAAACCTCAGCTTAGCATGACTCTTCATAACTTTTGTGAGGACTTCCACCAGTCATCCCGGGAAAAGTATGACAACACTTGTGGTCAGGGCTCCAACGGGCTGGACGCTGTGATGAACCCATAACCATTGTTCAAATCTTGCCCATATCCCCTCTGACTCAGTCTCTTTGCCTCAGCATTCGGGATTCCCTAACCCGGCAACCAAGTTTTGGGCAATCAAGTTTAAGTAGGACTCCCACAGTGGGACCGAATGTATGGCCCAAGATGCCTATTAAACTTTTACTTCTGCTTAGATGTGTGTGTGTGTGTGTGTGTGTGTGTGTGTGTGTGTGTGTGTGTGTGTGTGTGTGAGAGGGGGGAGTCCTTTGTAAATCCAGATTAGAATTGGTCTGATAAATGCTGAGCTGGGTGTGTGTAAATGTGGGTTGATTAGCATTTGGAGCACAGATTCCCCATCATGTAGTGCTCCCCTGCTTCTCTGATCCTAGAATTCACTGAGGTCTTTGCTTCAGGCGTTCTGTTCTCCATCTTCCATGTAAATGAATTGTCTTCTGGTTCCATCTTGCATGCAAATAAGACCTAGGGCAGTTGTTTCACTCTTGTCACCCTTATCTGGAGGGCTTTAGGTGAGTCTCCCACTGCATCTTCATTGTCTTCCATAATCAGTTCTTGTTCAGGTGGGGGCGGAAATCTTTGAGAGTCAGACAGGCTGCATCCTGTGTCAGGGTTCCCCAAGAACACGGAGCTGAGAGGTAACAAGGCCCTGATTTAGCTGCATCATTTAATATGCATCACATTGTTAGGTTTTTTTAAATTATGGTTTGTTTGTTTTTAAAGTTTTAGTCCAACTGAAGACTGCCTTAAGAATGTACCCCAGTTCAAGTCTGTTACAGAAACTGTACAGATTTGTAGCTGGTGATCATGGTCCTAGTGTGCAATGCTCAAGTAGACCATAGGCAAAGAAGGAGTGGCTCATGCTGGGACTAGAAGCTGAGTTTTTAAAAAATAAAACAAAACATGGCTTTCACCTGCTTTGTAAAACATGGGGGACACTGTCTGCTGCTGGCACAT